GCTCAGACACAAACACAGAGCTCAGACACAAACACAGAGCTCAGACACAAACACAGAGCTCAGACACAAACACAGAGCTCAGACACAAACACAGAGCTCAGACACAAACACAGAGCTCAGACACAAACACAGAGCTCAGACACAAACACAGAGCTCAGACACAAACACAGAGCTCAGACACAAACACAGAGCTCAGACACAAACACAGAGCTCAGACACAAACACAGAGCTCAGACACAAACACAGAGCTCAGACACAAACACAGAGCTCAGACACAAACACAGAGCTCAGACACAAACACAGAGCTCAGACACAAACACAGAGCTCAGACACAAACACAGAGCTCAGACACAAACACAGAGCTCAGACACAAACACAGAGCTCAGACACAAACACAGAGCTCAGACACAAACACAGAGCTCAGACACAAACACAGAGCTCAGACACAAACACAGAGCTCAGACACAAACACAGAGCTCAGACACAAACACAGAGCTCAGACACAAACACAGAGCTCAGACACAAACACAGAGCTCAGACACAAACACAGAGCTCAGACACAAACACAGAGCTCAGACACAAACACAGAGCTCAGACACAAACACAGAGCTCAGACACAAACACAGAGCTCAGACACAAACACAGAGCTCAGACACAAACACAGAGCTCAGACACAAACACAGAGCTCAGACACAAACACAGAGCTCAGACACAAACACAGAGCTCAGACACAAACACAGAGCTCAGACACAAACACAGAGCTCAGACACAAACACAGAGCTCAGACACAAACACAGAGCTCAGACACAAACACAGAGCTCAGACACAAACACAGAGCTCAGACACAAACACAGAGCTCAGACACAAACACAGAGCTCAGACACAAACACAGAGCTCAGACACAAACACAGAGCTCAGACACAAACACAGAGCTCAGACACAAACACAGAGCTCAGACACAAACACAGAGCTCAGACACAAACACAGAGCTCAGACACAAACACAGAGCTCAGACACAAACACAGAGCTCAGACACAAACACAGAGCTCAGACACAAACACAGAGCTCAGACACAAACACAGAGCTCAGACACAAACACAGAGCTCAGACACAAACACAGAGCTCAGACACAAACACAGAGCTCAGACACAAACACAGAGCTCAGACACAAACACAGAGCTCAGACACAAACACAGAGCTCAGACACAAACACAGAGCTCAGACACAAACACAGAGCTCAGACACAAACACAGAGCTCAGACACAAACACAGAGCTCAGACACAAACACAGAGCTCAGACACAAACACAGAGCTCAGACACAAACACAGAGCTCAGACACAAACACAGAGCTCAGACACAAACACAGAGCTCAGACACAAACACAGAGCTCAGACACAAACACAGAGCTCAGACACAAACACAGAGCTCAGACACAAACACAGAGCTCAGACACAAACACAGAGCTCAGACACAAACACAGAGCTCAGACACAAACACAGAGCTCAGACACAAACACAGAGCTCAGACACAAACACAGAGCTCAGACACAAACACAGAGCTCAGACACAAACACAGAGCTCAGACACAAACACAGAGCTCAGACACAAACACAGAGCTCAGACACAAACACAGAGCTCAGACACAAACACAGAGCTCAGACACAAACACAGAGCTCAGACACAAACACAGAGCTCAGACACAAACACAGAGCTCAGACACAAACACAGAGCTCAGACACAAACACAGAGCTCAGACACAAACACAGAGCTCAGACACAAACACAGAGCTCAGACACAAACACAGAGCTCAGACACAAACACAGAGCTCAGACACAAACACAGAGCTCAGACACAAACACAGAGCTCAGACACAAACACAGAGCTCAGACACAAACACAGAGCTCAGACACAAACACAGAGCTCAGACACAAACACAGAGCTCAGACACAAACACAGAGCTCAGACACAAACACAGAGCTCAGACACAAACACAGAGCTCAGACACAAACACAGAGCTCAGACACAAACACAGAGCTCAGACACAAACACAGAGCTCAGACACAAACACAGAGCTCAGACACAAACACAGAGCTCAGACACAAACACAGAGCTCAGACACAAACACAGAGCTCAGACACAAACACAGAGCTCAGACACAAACTAGAGAAACTCGCTCACCAGACTCCTTGATGCTGATCACGTCCAGCGCCACCATGTCAGGCTTATCTGAGGGCGACACCTTCCTCTCGGTGACTCCAGACGGCACTACATCGGGTTTGTTGCTCAGACTCCTGCTATAATAATCAGAAACATGAATGTGGTATGGGTTCTCATGAGCCATAACAGACGTGGACGAACCGTCCAGCGCCATCTTTACTTCCGCTCACGTCGTCTTCTTCTTCTTCTTCTTCTTCTTCTTCTATCTTTCCGGCAGTGCAGACGCTACTGGGCGTATTACTGCCCTCCACAGGTCAAAGTTTGAACTAAATTCTTATATACAGTCCTGTATTATGCAAGAACTGAAGAACTACCTCAGAGATCAGTTTATGTTTATCACTGTGTCCAAACAAAGTAGTAACAGAAAACACTTTAACTCCAAATTCTGCCAATTTATCAAAAAGTGCTTTTCTTTCTCCATTATACTTCCTACATTCCAAGAAAACATGCCCTACTGTTTCCGTATTCCCACATTCACATAATCCAGAGATATGCTTTCCTACAATATACAAAAAGTAGTTTAACCCACAGTGGCCCAACCTCACGCTACACAGTTTAACTGCGTCAAGGACAAACACACCTTTCACGTCACACGCCGCGACCTGACCACGTGCTTCACGGCAGCCAATGACAATGCAGAGTTTCTATCAGTTTTTTTTTTCCAATCTTTCGGTTAACACCATTTTGTATGTTATTATTGTGTGTATAGAACTATGAAATAAAACTAAAACGAGAGAAAATTAAAAAACAGAGTTGGGATCAACAATATTTTCAATGCATTATTTATATATGTATTATTACAATGTACTAAAAGGAATGAGTGCGTTGACAAAATAAGTGTAAAGCAGTTTCAGGGTGACAGTAATAACATCTGACGTAAACCCGATTAACTGTATTTAAAATATAATAATAATAATGTTTTATTTTCAGTAACTTGAGGACTTTTAAATCTGACAGGAGTGAATATTTAGGCAGGAAATTACGTCATCCCGGCAGCGCGCCTGCGTCTCCTCGCTGTCCTCTGCTTGACGTCGCGTGCGTAGCTGCAGCACAGCGAGCGGTGTTTACAGTGTTTACAGTTTCTGCTCCACACGGACCGAGTTCACGTCGTGATTGTACCGTCCTCTGACTGACAATGGCCGGAACTCTGGCGCGTAAGGCCGTGGATCATCTCCGCAGTAAAGAGTTCAGAGATTATCTCATGAGGTCAGTGTTTCCCTGTGTTTCTCACGGACGAGTCAAACCGTGTGTGTGTGTGTGTGTGTGTGTGTGTGTG